ACCTGCTAAAACCTGAGATCGGGAAGAGCTGGAGGCCCCTGAACATGAAAAGTGTTTTGGCANGATGCTTCTTCACCTGCTAAAACCTGAGATCGGGAAGAGCTGGAGGCCCCTGAACATGAAAAGTGTTTTGGCACACCTGTGTCTTTCCCTTTCATGCAGAATTGGAACAATGGACGTGAATGTTACGAGAGCCCTGAAAGCCTGTGCTTTCCAGAAGTCTCGGATTAGCTTTTTTTTTCCACCTCCAGGCATCTAACATGAGAATTCTAAATGGTTAATATTCTCCTGATAAGAAAACATATGTTTCCCAAATTTAGCAGGAGTTATAATAAAATCATCAAGTTTCTAAAGCCTTAGTCCACAGAGAAAGATTTTAATTTGAAGGCATTCCAGTGTCAGCCTTTTCAGAAATACTGACGGTGTAATTGAGCCTGGTTATTAAAACAACAGGTGGTCTGCTTCCTTTCTCATCACTTAAGTCAAAAATTGAACCACAATTCATAAACTAGTCTGTAGGCCCTTTAGGAACTGAAAAGGTTTTGTTTCCAAGCAGGAGAGCTCGGAGAAGTTTGGGAAGCTTGTGAACCAAGGAGTGGATGTTCCTATCATGAGGCTTCAACAGGAAGATCTCTGGGTTGGGCCCTTAACCTTAAATGCTCACACCAAGCCCATAAGGAGATGCAATTATCCCAAATCTACAGATGAGGCATTGGAAGCCCAGAGAGGACAACTGCTTTGCAAAGCTCACATGACCGGCATTTGGGGGAGTTGAGATTCAAGGCCAGATCTCTCTAGTCTTCAGTGTCAAAGCAGCCCCTCGGCCCCCACAAACTGCCCTCAAGGTCCAGCAGCAATGAAACTGACAACACTCTTTGATCCTTTGCCAACATCAGAGATTATCACCTTTTCCTTTTTTATATCGGTATAAATTGAATGTTCAAAAATGAACCTGTAAAAACTATCATCGCTTTCAGGTCTAGCAAAGCCTCAAAATTATGGAGGAGCTATTGTAAAAGAGCTGTGTGGCCTTGGGCAAGTCACACTAACTCTCAGCCATGGTTTTGTCATCTGATGCAATTAAGATAATAACATCTACTCACTGGGTTGCTGAGAGGATTAAATGAAAAATGAGATATAAAAGCACTTAGCACCTTGTAGGTGCTTAATAATTGTAGGTCCTCTTATTCTCTGCAATAAATATTATTGAATAAATGCTATTTTAACAATAATATACCTATGGAACATGCCCCTTGTGTTTGATGCTGAAATGACTCTATATTTAATCCCCCCAAGCCCTGGGTACTAGGTACTACTTTTATAGAAGAGGAAACTGAGACTCAAAGAGGGTAAGTGATTTGCCCCAAGTTATACAGGAAGTGGGAGGGCTGGGATTTGAACCCAGACACACCGACTTTGGAGGTCAGACCTTTGAGCATCATGCTAGCCTACCCTCCAGGCGATGAGGGTGAACAGACATTTCACGCAGCAAAGGCTGAACTTGATGACTTGCTTTTGCTCTCTCAAGCCCCATCCCAGCCCTTTCTTGGAAAATAAAAGATGTTTGTGTGAGCTTCCCACTCTCTTAAGGATACTACACTCAGAAAGCTTTATCGATTTCTTTTACGATATGGTTGCAATTTTGCCTGCTTCTCATAAACCTTCAAAAGCAAGCCCCATGAGGTCACCAAAGCAGCTGGCAGATGTGATGTTCCTAAAAACTCTTTTTGGGTCAGATTTCTCCCCAGGGAGGGCCTTGTCCCTCTAGCCGCTGGGTGGTAAAAGGAATGAAAACTCTGCTAGGACTGTGCCTCCACTGACTTTCCTTTCATTGTTTATTTGCTTCTTTATTTGCACTCCTTCTAAAAAAGGATTTGAGGTAGAATTTCCCATCAAAGGTAATGACCAAAATCTCTAGATGAAAAGGAGGTGTCAGAAAAAAGGGAATAGATACTGAGGAAGTCTTGGGCTTCTCCAACAGAAGAAGCTTCTAGAAAGAGGTGTTGTGAGACATCTTTTACACAGTAGCAGAAGTAAGAGAGCTTCAAGAGCTGGAGCTGTAGGGCTCACACCAAGTCCCCATTAATAAAACCACTTTCTTCATTGTTTAAACCTGTATCTCTAAAGAAAGGGAGGACCCAGGGAGAGAGAAGCAAGGGAGGGGAGGAGAGACTGCCTCCTTAATGCCATCTCTTGTTATGGGGAAGCAGATTCCTCCATCATCAATTCTAGACTGATTGTCTTGCTGAAAACAAAGAAAAGCAAACATGTGATAAGCTGCTGTTAGGATGGATGGTTCTACGGGACTGAGGGTAGGGGCTGCATACAGGCCATGGTTCTGTCTGTAGCTTAAGAGTGGCTGCCACGGCAGCAATCAAGGTTAGGTGTCTGGGGCTTCCCAGGTCCACCGGGCAAATATTTTCTGTGCTCTGAACTAGGTGTGGAAGGATCAAAAGTAAATGTCACAATCCCTACCTTGAAAGAGTTCCCAGTTACTGGAGGAGACAGGTACACAAATGGAGAATTTCACTATGATATCCTATAGGATTCCTTCACACTTTCTAGCAAGCATCTACTCTGTGCCAGGTATTATGCAACATGATACAGAGTAACCGTGAAGCTTGGAGTCTAATGCCCAGTCTAACGTTTAGGATGCTGTGAGAGCACAGAGGAGGGTTTGTACCCAGACGGGAGAAATCCTGAAAGGTGGCATGAAGGAAATGACAAGAAAGAAGGGGATAGAAAGGAAGCCCCATGCAGAAGAAAGAACATGGTCAAACGCATAGTGGCATGAGACGTTTTGTACCCAGGGCACTACATGCTAATTGTGTGTGGACTGCTTCTTACAGTGTTGTGACTTCCAGATACCTTGCCAAAAATCCCTCCTGTCCTCCAGCGGTTTGTCCTTAAAATTGAACTTGGGGCCTCTGGAGCATGGGCTTTGGGAGCTCCATAGGGAGGTGATGGACCAGTCCAGACACCGTTCCTGAGGGCTATGAGGAAAAAGATGTCATTGGGTATATTCTCTTTTATAGTCCTTCTCATCCAAATACCCTCCCATGGCAAGTTCCCTAGAGATGAACCTCACAACTGTGGTATGCAATCTCTGCTCAAGATGTGATCTGAGAAAACCCGTCAAAAGGTGTCTGGTTAATATGGGGGTTCAGAGTTAAACCCATATTACATGGTTATCTGGAAGGTGACAAGGTTGCAGTGCAGGGAGATGTTCCCTGTGGACTGAAATTCCCCCATCCTTCTCCCAGAACAATACGATCGGAGCCCGACTGCGTGCCTTGCACACATTGTCACACTTTGTCCTCTCCTCAACTCTGTAAGGTCAGTGCTATGGCCTCTACCTTACTGATGAAGTGCCTAGGGTTTAGAGACCTTCATTTCCCTGCCCAAGAACTTCCTGACCTGACAGAGTCAAGCCAAGATCAAACATGCTTCTCCAAGACTTCCCCCATACATTCATCCTCGACATTCAGACCTCAGCTCAGACAGGAACTCCCTAGATCTAAAGAGGCCCCCTCTGTCACCACTTTTTCTTTCATAGCACTTAACCTCTCTGATAGGACAGCAAGGGCTTAGTCATCATCTGCCTCTCCCCCAGATCCACAAGGCAGGGACCTTTCTTGACTCCTTTATTGCTGTATCCTTGATGTGCCAAGCAGAGCCTGAAACATGAAAACCCAAAACAAATGGCTGCTTAGTGAATGAAGCCATCAGCCTGGCCCCTAAGCCCAGCCCTCTCTGCTCTGCTGGTCCTGCTCAACGTGGCGACCAGTGATCCACTGGGAGCTTGTGAGGAGCCCCCTGGTGGCTGCAGACGGACCCACAAATGCAGGACTTTCTGAGTTTCTCACATTGAAGGCAGGCAATTCCACAGATTTTCATTTCTACTGCAACCAAAAGATACTATCCAGCAACATTCTATATGACAAACATTTGAGATTCATAAGCCAATAGTATCCATAACTCACATTTCTTGATTCAGATTCACTCTCCTACCCCCAAGTCAGCCTTAGGGTTGCACAGACCTCTCAGATGTGCATCCTTGCAGAGTGTGGGATGCTCACAGTTGTCAGCGTGGGATGTTCACTATCTTTGGTCACTGTGAGCGTTGCCTGCAATCGGCTCTTTCAATCACTGCTATTGCTGTTTTAATCAATTCATGTGTACACTCACTCTTAGTGTTTATTTTTGTTGATTGCTCTGTTTTGTGTGGTGCCATTTTGATTATGATTTTATTCCCCTCCAAAGCTTTTTTTCCAAATTATTTTTTCCACTAAAAAGCAGTGATAAGACAATCAGTCCTGCTTAAGTGGGTCACAGTCCTGAATGTTTGGAAAAGAATCCTTGCACCCCACCTCGTGACCTCAAGTAATCCCTGAACTGCCATGCTCTCTTTTGTTTTGTGACAAGACATCCTAAACATCACCGCACTCGGCAAAATGGGGTGAGGGGCACAACACTTAGAGACATTATCAGTGACGCATAAAAAAGAGAAAGAAAAAACATCATCACAATTTTACACAGGTTAAATGGCTAAGAAATATATAAGTGCTACAATAAATATGCCATGTTCCCTTGAAGAAACCTGGTGTTCGCGAAAGTGGGCATAGGAAGGGTTACAGCTTGTGCGTTATTGTGAACAGGTGGAAGGAGGGTGTTCTGAGTGGGATGGAAAATTGTAACCACAGGTGCAGGAGGGCGGCTCCTAACACAAGGTGAACCAAGTAGCAGGTAGATGCTTCAGGTGTGTACATGTGTGCGTTTTGTACATTCCTGAATCGCTCGCTTCAGCTGGGTGCACTTTCTGCATTCACCTAGTATTTCTCGGGGAGGCAACCTTGCCTAAGCAAATGTGAAATGCCCATTATCCCCAAGCTGTCTCCAAACGTATCAATTGTGTTGGAACAAATGTACATGTTCAAACCAAGTGTCATGGCAGAACTGGCTGTATCTGATCTACTTTCCTCCTTTTCTTGTTGATTCAGACTGGACCAAGAGGATTGAGTATCAGCCTGGCTCGGGGAGTGTGCCCCTGTTCCCTAGCATCCACCTGGAGACATGCGAGGGGGCCGTGTCCTCCATCCAGATCACCACAGAGCTGCAGACCAATTACATTGGGAAGGGATGTGACCGGGAGACCTACTCAGAGAAATCCCTTCAGAAATTATGCGGTAGGTTCTTCCCTGTTGGTTTTTGTTTTTTTTAAGTAAGTGCTTTAAATGATATATATATATAAAGCATATCTTATTATGTTATGAAAGGATCAGCCCCTCCCACCACATTGGTATATGTAACTCCTGGGGAACTATTAAATTTACCTAGGATGGTTCAGGCGAAGGCACAGCTTCCGGCATCGGGCACACCTGATCAACCCCGCCATATACCAAGTGTGTGACTGTGGGCAAGTGAAGTGACAAAGCCGCTACACTTCATCAGTAAAACAGGGATTCATGACACAATGTGTTTAAAAGCACCAACCACAGGGCCTGAAGAAACACAAGTTTCCTTCCGCTGTGGTGGTTTATTGAGAGGCACCTGACCAGGTGAAATAGGAAAGGTGGTGTCAGTCACCTGGGGAGAGGTTGGTCTCCTCCCCACAGGACCAGCTCCATAATTTGCAGGGCCTAGTGCAAATGAAACTGCGGGATCCTTATTAAGAATTTCAACAGTAAAATCACAAAGCATTAAACCAAGCTGGGGGCCCACGCCAAGCACGGGTACTTGGTTGCATGCCAGGAAAGCCTGCCTGACTGCCCACATCAGAGAAGAAGGCTTGGGTGGGGTGGCAGTGGGTGAAGTGAATGTGTCCAAGTGTGGGGTGGAGGGGGCCTGCTGTCAGCGGGCTGTGAGATGGCGCCACAGGAAGGAGCAGGCCAGGAACTAGGAAACGGAGCTGAGGGAGGCGTGCTGCTCAAGGACGCTTAGCTTTATGGAGCCCTCCTTCGTGCAGTCTCCCCAACTCCTCACATGCATTACTTTATTTAATTCCCCCATCTTTGCTGTGAAGAGGGTGCTATTATCCACCTTTAATGATGGAAAATTTGAGGCCAGAGAGAAAGCATGACTTGTTGAAGATCACACAAATAGAAAGTTGACAGCCAGAATTTGAGAGTAGATCTATCAGAAGGAAAGTCTCTTTGGCTCAGTATCTGTGATGCCAGGCCAGGCCTTAGGAGACAGAATGTGAATATCTCGAGACAGCCTGAGGAATGAGAGGACGCTCAGTATGCTGGGAATGGTCCCACGGGCTTGGTAAACCAGACTGTTGACATGTTGAGGGGCCTCCACCAGCCCCACCATATATTTTTTTCTTTCTTTCTCACTCTTCTTCAGAAATTTTCAGGAACTCACATTTGACTCTGCAGCAGTGCTGTGGTGAGCTTAGGAAACAGCTCACTCTTACACTTGGCCTGTATTTAGGGGTAACTACGTCTCCACAAAAGGAAAGCGAAATGGGGAAACTGGGGCGAGGGGCACAAGACTCAAAAACATTATCAGTGACACATAAAAAAGAGAAAGAAAAAAAATATTATTACAGTTTTACTCAGGTTAAATGGCTAAGAAATATATAAGTGCTACATACAATAAATATGGCACTGTACCTTGAAGAGACCTGAACACACAGTCCAGCCTGCCTCCCTTCCTGGTGTTCTCCCCACTACTGTCTTTGGAGCATTTTCTGCTCCCCCTCTCCCCCCACCTCAACATTGCCCCCACGTACACCTTCACTTACACTGCTCTTTCCCAAAGAACCATGTGAACGTTTTAGAACTGAATGTAAATTAAACCCTGCTTGGGTATCACCATGTCCCATTTACCATGTCACCAGGCCAGCAAGGAAGGCCTGTGGGAATGCAGGCTTCTCTAGAATGATGGAGCTGATTCGGGAAAACACCGCAACATCAATATTCCAAACAGCTCTTGCAAAAAATGGATATAAGGGACCCGCAATATTCAGAACACTGCCTCCAGTCCTCTCCCTCACTCTGCATGCAGAGAAGTCATCTCACACGACATCTCACATTGAATGAATATCCCATTTCACTCCTCGCGCACTGTCATGAATTATGAGTCAACTCGACCCCATGCCATTGTGGGTTACAGTCATTGCCTAAACCCCTCCAGGTTAGAAGGAGATGATGAAATCAGCGTGTTAAAGATCAGATGGGCCCCAGGGCACACACTTGTGATTTGATTTTGAATGTTGCTGAGAAGAGGAGATATGGAGAGTGAGAAGGATCGTCTGAGGGAAGAAGGTTTAGAACAAAACCGCATCTGGTGTTCACACGGCTCATTCCTCTGGGCTGCCAGGTCACCTTGCAGGAGGGCCGGTTAATTCAGTCAGGAGAGCAGTTTCCACCAAGGTGCGTGCGTGCGAGCTTGTCTGGTGTTTGGAGAGACCCTTTGTTGAGAGACGTCTGCGTGGCTTTCTGGTGACCTTCCTGGTAGTGCGGCCCTCCACCCTGATGGGAACTCTATCCCAGTAGCGCTGATGCGCAGGGCCACCCCTATCTCCATATGAAAAGTCTGAATCTCAAATTCCACTGAGGGGAGCTCGGGAACAAAGGGCAGAGGCAAATGAGTGAGACTCAGATGCGCATCTCTGACAAGAGGCAGCTTCTGAAAGAGGCAGCTCCTCAAGCCCTGCTCTCTGTAAACTGTGAGGGAAATTCAGGCTGGATCATGTCTAAAACCGAGTGCAGGTTGAAACTCCTGACTCCCGTGGGGCACCCTAGGTTCTGCAGACAAGCTTCTGTGTGTTTTCAGTGGATGGTAGACAAGTTCCTCGTGGGGTTTCGCAACCAGGGAACTGCCATGACACTTAAAGCCTTGGCATTCATGCATTTTTCATCCTACTAATCTTTATTGACTTTGGATGGAAACAGGGAGACCAATTAGGATGCTGTTGCCACAGTCTAAGCAAGAGATAATGAGTTCTGAACCAGGGGAGTGGCAATGGGGGTGAATTTAAGACAGATTCAGGAGGCAAAATTGACGAGAGTTAATGATTCATTAGCTGTGAGGAGTGAAAAGGGAAGAATCTAAGATGACCCCAGGGTGAGCATTTAGCTGGACGAGGGTGCCTCCAATGAGAACCAGGGATCCGGGGCAAGAGCAGCGTTAGGGGGCGATGATGACTCACCTGCATAACGTCCAGGTGTGCACGCCCAGCTCTAGCCTGATGCTAACCCTCCACCCCGCCCGCCCATCATTATGGCCCGTTTCCTCCCAATGTCCTGCCGCCTCTTGGCCAGGGAACCTGCTTTCTGCCCATGCCTCGCTTGTTCTCATCCCATAAGGCTTTGTTCATGTTTTCTTCCTGCTGGGATGCTCTCTCTCTCCTTCATCATTCCAAACCTTTCCCTTGAGTCAATATTTTCCTGCCCTGTCTGCTCACTGGAGAAGCAGTCCTGGGGTGCTTCCTGGGTACCCTTGAGTTCCGGCATCTCTCCTGTGATGCTGCAGCTGCGTGGTGACTCAGGCAGGGGTGTCTACCTGGGGGGGGGGCATTGGATGTCTCTCTGGTCACTGTCTGCTTCCTCCTCCGGCAGCATCAGCTCCATTAGGAGCAGTGAGAGGATCCTGTTCAAGGGGGAGCCTGACAATAGCTGGCACAAAGCCTGCTGTCAGGGAGTACCCTACAGATGCAGCAGCACCTGAAGTAGCCTCTGGTTCCAGTAAAGTACTGGACATCAGGCATATTGCTGCCTAAGGTTGATACACTGAGATGCTTCCATTCTGCCATGAAACAAAAATGATGCAGGGTCCTGAACCCATGTCCCCTTCAGCTTGTGGGGCTGGACATAGCCTAAGACGGTCCCCCACTGCCCTTGCTTTACATAAAGGCAGGCTTCTTGGAGAAGCTGAGGAAAATGCTTGTCACTTCCTCTGGATTCAGACTTTTAAGATGGACTCTGCCATCTCGGTACCAAGCTTTCCGGAGGTGAAGCATTACAGAACTGCCTTGAGTATGAAACCCTCAGTGAGACCTCTTGGCCAAATTAAATTTGACATTAACAACAGCCCAAGAAAAGGCCTGCTTCAATGCCCCTAAGTCACTACATATTACAGTAAATAGAAAAGTCGTTTGTGACGCACATGACCTTCATAGCTCAGAGGCCAGGGGCTGTGCCTTCTCGGAATCGCAGGACTCCGGGCAGCTGGCCAGCACCTCCTGCCTGTGACACCCCGGTCATCTGTTTCATATGTGGAGTCAAGAGCTGTGAGGACAGGTCTTGTTGAAGGAAAAGTCACAGAATGAGAGCGTGCTATTAAATCAAGTGGTGGATCTGTCAAAGCAGCTCAGATCACTAGACATTAAATTGTTCCCAGCATGCACACACTTGTGAGCCAGGAGGCTTTTGCAGAGAATTCATGTATTCATTCAAGTATTTATTAATTCAACAAATATTTGTTGAATGTCCAAATGCTGTAACTCTTGAGGTTCTATACAGGATAATAAGACCACTTAACAATTCCGTCTCCTGGGGGAGACAGACATGTTGAAAAAGTTAAGTCTCTGGTTTTCTACTACACCTTGCATCTTAATGGAACTGCCCTCACCAAGAATCATTGTCAGAGGTTCTCATACCCTTAGATAGCGCAACTACAAGGAGCTATCGTCAGTTTCTCCAAGACACTCCTAAAGAATTGGAGCTTCCAGGGAGGAGTTTTAGTCCCCTAATCATAGCCAGTGCTTCCATTCTCAGAGAGCTGAAGTGGGCCTCTTACTTTAAGGAAAATTGGTGCATGCCTATTGGGAATCAGACTAAATCATTAATCACACATTAGCAAAAAGCTGCACACACTGACTCATGGATGATGACGGTGGGCGATGGGATTCTCCCTGGATATGCTTATCTCTTTGAGGTCTTTTATGCAGCTACCATACAGCCTGCCCTCCTATACTGGAGAAAAGGTGTTTTGCTTCCAGTGGCCTTGCTCAGGCTGTTTATGCAACCGGGTATCCATGGCCCTGCCCCTGGAATCTGGCTGCTCACCCCTCATCCACAGCCTGGCTTATTTTACCTAGAGATCCAAGTGTCTGATTCCAAGGCCTTAGAGGAACACTTCTTGTCTAGGAATCCAGAAGTGGAATGATAGTCTGATTATAGGATCAATAGGTTTGAGTTCCAGAAAGAACATCAGAAAGTCCTCCATGTCCGTGCTG